GTCGAGTCGCGATTCTAGTGTTCTGAGTTCTAGGACCCGACGAGTCACAAGGCCGACTCGGCGATTTTTTTTAACCTGGAAGGTTGACTTTGACCAGGATGTTGACTTTAACCAAGGGTAAAATGGTTATTTTACCCTGAGAATAGTTATTAGTTTCTGACTAAGTGTCATTATGGAATTTATAGCCGAAGAGTTATCGTAGCAGCAAACAGGGATTCATCACTCGGGTTTTCAGCAGTCAGTCATATGAGGTGAGTTTCCTTTTGGTAGGAATGGGTCTAAGGCACCAAGGCCGGCCCACATCATGTTATGATTAGTAGCCAAATATGGGTGGGGCCCGTATCTCCTGGTAGTTGAGTTTGATTATAATATATGTCTGAATGATAGATTTAGTTATCCTTGTATGTCTGTCTAGTAGTTGAGTGTGGGCGGGGCCCCTATCTCATAGTAGCCAAGTGTAGGTGAGGCATGTATCTCAAAGTGGCTGAGTATGGGCGGGGCCCGTATCTCATAGATAGCGGATTGTGGGTGGGGCCCATATCTCCTAGTTAGCGAAGTGTGAGCGGGACCCGTATCTTCATGAGTGTGGGCGGGGACCGTATCTCCTAGTTGCATGTTATATGTGTATGGTATGTGGCAGTTTGGGGGAGATCACTAAGCTTCATGATTAAAGTTTCAGGTTTGGTTTCAGGTACTTCTGGTAGCAAGGGGAAGAGCTCGAGATGATGGCATGGCACACACCACAGTATTAGCTTGGGACATTACGTTTATGTTTTCTTATGAGATTTGATTTGTATCAGATACTATGATGTTTTATGATACATGATTCACGTTTTATTTATGACATTGGATGATTTATGATTTTAACAATGATTTGAAAACGAACTTTGTGGACATTATTTTCAGGATGTTTCATATTATGGGTAGAGAAAGTGTAACTATGTTACTATTAAGGGTAAGTAAATGTAAGTATATTGCTATAATGTGTAAAAATAAAGTTTTTTTTTCTAATTTTGTAAAAATAGTAAAGTATTTTGATATTTATTATAGTTTTTCGTTTTACATAGATCCTGATATCAACATTGAAACATCTTAGACAAAGGCAAATGAATTATATGAGCTTTTAAGATTTATTAAAGAAAGGTAGTATAATGATTTTAAGTTGTGGGTTAATGTAATAAATAATGGTATGAGATTATTTCCTTACACGTATTGAATTATCAATAGCGTTTTTCTTTCTCAACCATGGTATCCAACAATTATAAGCTAGTTATTACTATATATTATCATTTTGGTCGAGCTAATTACATTTAATATTCGTTTTTTTGTTGTCTACATGACTACTTGGTTGATAATACTAGAGAGGAGTCTAATAAGGAGCTCAATGTTGTTTTTCTTTTCTATTTCTTAGTATTTAATATACTTAATGATTGATACTATAAATCCCATAACATAATATATTGTTCCTATGTCTTTAGTTGTAATAATGTAACACTTAATTTTGGGATGTTTCTATTTTCGGGATAACAAGCCGTAATTTGATCGAGTGTGGGTATTGGGCATTAATGGAATAGTGTTTAGATCCTATCATATGTTGATAATGTTGGTTAAGTAATTAAAGACCTCAAATTATGCTTTGAAGCCAATAAAATGGGAAGAGTGATATTTCAAACTTCTTATATGAATTAATGAATTTAGTTCGATATGTTTTAAGTCAAAAGAAATTAAATAGAATTATGAGACTTGTCACTACCTTTGTGTGCATATAAAGATTGCCGAAAATGGACTTGAACGAATCAGTTATGACTGTTTTAAGTTGTAATGAAATCAGTGGAAACCCGTCACCACGAGGTGGTCCTTATGCAGCCTAAGCCCATAAATTTTAGGGATTTCAATGTATTTAAAGGTAAGGTTCCATGTTTTAGGGTATTTTCTCAGCCCCCATCACATCTAAATCTCTCTAGGAGAAACACTAGCATCCTTCTTCATAGATTAAGCTTGTTCTATCTCATCCCATCTATTTTTGGTGTTTTAGTTCATTCTTAAAGAAAGTGGTGTCATTTGGAGCATCAAGAATGAATCTTCCAGCCTAGCTTTTCTATTTCTAGTCACCTTATAGACCCTTATAAGTCACAATGCTCATTGCTTTTTTCGTATCTTGTCTTTGGATTTTTGAAGTGTTATGAGTTTTAATCCATATTGGTGAGTTTGACTGAGAGTTTGGATTAAAATTTGCAAATTTATTACTTTCAGAGGTCCCAAGAACATTGTATATTTCAGATCTAGACTCACAAGTTTTTATGATGTTATGCATGAGATTTTGACCTATTTCTCACCATTTTGACCTACCATTTGGTTGGAAAGAAGCCTTCTAGAAAGCTTGGCTGGCTAACTTAATGAACGGAGGACTTAACGAAAAGATGGAGAGATAAACTGGTGGATATTAGCAGGAATTGATTGAAACTTTAGCATGGGCTCATGAACGCACACCTTTGGCCAATTTGATTCGTTGGAGAGATAAACCAGTGGCACTTTCCATTGGAAAAGCAAGATTGGTTGGATTAGCCCACTTTTCTATAAGTAATATATTTACTTATGCAACTTTCTTGATTGCCTATACATCAGGGAAATTTCGTTAATTTTGTTAATTGAATGTTTTGTATCCGCGATAATCTCATTCCTTTCGATGAAGAAGAGATACGCCTTCTTATTTTATATTTCTACATCTAGGATCCGACTTGTATCATGGATACTAATAGGAACTTAATGAGTATGGCAAAAAAAAGTTTGATTAAGAAGGAAAATAAGAGGGAACAATTGGAACAGAAATATCATTTGATTTGTCGATCCTCAAAAAAAGAAATAAGCAAAGTTCGATCGTTGAGTTGACAAATGGGAAATTTATGGAAAGTTACAATCCCCACCGCGGAATAGTGCGCCTACACGCCTTCATCAACGTTGTTTTTCAACTGGAAGGCTAAGAGCTAACTACCGAGACTTTGGACTATCCGGACACATACTTCGTGAAATGGTTCATGCATGTTTGTTGCCAAGGGCGACAAGATCGAGTTTGTAAGGATTAAAATATCTCTTTATTTCATTTCTATGATCGATGATCATAGACGGCCTCTTTACCGTTCTGTATAAACAGGCTATTCTATTTGTATAGATATAGTAGAGGGGCGCATTCAATCCTTGCTTGTCTATTAGTTTTCAGTTCTTCTCTTCGGCGCGAGGTAGAGAAGCTTGGTAGCTCGCAAGGCTCATAACCTTGAGGTCACGGGTTCAAATTCTGTCTCCGCAACACTTTTTGTCA